TCTAAAACGAGTGAGAAAGCCTTCATTAGAAAGAGAGATACTAATTATATGATAGCGAGATTAATATTGTATAACTTTATGCAGTGGTGGCCTATCTGCTATTATATTATCTGTTCTTCATTTGAGTCACCGCAAATGGTTGCGTTTGACAGAAAATAATTTATTGTTCTTTTTGTTTACTATAAAATGGATTAGATACCTTTTTGTATTGTACATATTTATTTGCCATTAATTTTTTTACTTATTTCAGATTTTCTTCTACTGATCTCACATCCAATCTGGCTTAGTGTCAAGTGCTTAGTTTGAGTATTAATAGCATGCCAAACAACACATATCTATGTTCAGACCATTTTTCAACTGAACATTATTATAAAGGTAGCAATAGATTAATAAAAGGAGCTATACCAAAAGCTGTACCTATACCTCGCTTTAGAAATGTGTAAGTTTTTTTAATATAAACTTTCGAAATACACTTATTTCCTTATTTTGTTAAATGGTAAACATTTGAGTATTATTACATTATTGTTTACAGGCTTGAAAATAACGACGGTAAAGAAAATGTGCCCTTATCTCAGTTCCCAACATTGGGAATTTCGAAGTTGGAAAAGAAAGATAGAAGGCTAATGGAAAGGTATGATTAGCTCTTACATTTTAAAAATCAAGCAGGTGCTGGTAATAGCCTTTAGAACTGTTAAAACTTAATAAAATGTGTATCATTAATATATCGGAACAATAAATTTTATGTATATTTCATTTGTAGGGATGTACATGTTTTATATTAAAATTATTAATCAATGTAATCAAAACATAGTTATTGGTTGTGCCTAGATATAATATATCTATGTAGAAGTAAGCATTTATAAAACAAAAATGAAATAAACATTAATGCTACCAAATTCCCATGAAATTTATATATTCTTTATTAGTTTAGGTCACCACTTAACAGTTAAAAACCAATTACCTATAAAATGGAAGGAATACAGAAAAAATACATTTTATTCGTGAGATATATCATACACATTTTTACAATATGATACCAGAACACATTAAAAACATAAAAAATACAACCCATTTTAAAGCGAAATTGAAAGAGTTTATTTTTGAAAATACTCGAAGCCTGATTCAAAATCACTTCGTAAATTAGGAGTTTGAAATTACCACTTCCTTACTTCTAATAATAAAAATAAAATTAAAAAAAATTAAAACTTTTAGTTACGTTTATGGAATATAGAATACTCTTACTTGTGAAACGTTAACAAGGTTACTTTTAAGAATTTATTATTGCAAACTATACAAGATTATAATAAAAATACACTTAAAAAGTTTATCAAAGAGACACCTCATCCAAATTTTCTTTGGAACCACATGATCTTCTTAAAAACGAAAACAAGATGTCAAGACGTCATTTATCACACACGCCTTATTTAAATTCGCCAATCATAAATCGTCGTGTTTCTAACTCGCCAATAATAATGCGTCGTGTACCTAAGAGCTCAGTACATAACAAACCCATTTGAGTAAAACCTCTAGTCTTAAGGCGGGTACAGATCTGAGCAAGTACGCGTATGAGGCAAGCCGAGGACGCATGAGCATTCAGATGTGGACGGCTTCCGAGGCGCGGAAAATTGCCTCGTTTTGTGCGCCGTTCGGCCTCGCGCCGATCCGTTTGTTGGCGGTACATTAAAGGGTGGCAATGCGCAGTACGTGCTCAGTCTGGACGGGGAATTTATACCATACAACACCGTACAGATAATAGCGAGTTTTTAGGATTTATTTTGCATGGAGTGGAACCAGGAAAACGTTTTTCTTCTCCTTGATTTAAATAATTCAGCGTGATATCTTAAGACAGCAAAACGCCAGTTATATTACAACACCATAAAAAAGAATATTCTTAGCAGGAAATTGCTCATCGATTCCTTTCTCTCCTTTTTTCTTTAATGTGTCGGATAAAATAATAAAACATGCACTCAACTCCGCGACGACGTCATCCTCATCCTTTTTTTGTGTCATCGGCATCAACTGCTATGGTTATTAGCCTCGTGTTCTGTGTAGGCTTTGTCACTGTTTCCCACGCCACTTCAGGAACAGCACTGTTAATTTGTATCCAATAGTGAATGGTCGAGTGGGGAATCCTACCAAGGCATCAGAATTAATTTTAAATAATTAAATTAAATGAAAAAATCCCCATTTTTGTTTCAATTTTACGAATGTTCTGGGTATACGGTTGCGTGCTCGCGAATTTACTGGATCAGTGGCGAACAGCGCCTCGTGCTTCCTCCATTCGTATATACAAAATGCGTCGCACGAGGCATTCGATTCAGCCTCGGTTTGCCTCATACGCCTACGTGCTCAGATCTGTACCCGCCTTTAAGGCGGGTACAGATCTGAGCACGTACGCGTATGAGGCAAGCCGAGGACGCATGAGTATGTAGATGTGGACGGGTTGCCTCATACGCGTACGTGATCAGATCTGTACCCGCCTTTTGAGTGTTTTATGAGGTAGAGGGTATACGTTTGGATTGATAAAGTTGTCATCTGACAATATTTTCTTTGTTTCTTCACGATCTACATTTCCTATGCTTATTTTTCTGACAGATCTTTGACAAAAAAAAAATTGTTCCTTAGGAGGTACTTTCTGGGCCTTTTCACACATGCATGCAGAAAAATCGCATTTATAAGCAACTATGACACTCTATTTTAAATGTATTTACCTTTTCGTCATAGTTGTTGTTTCGTTTGCTTCTGAAATATCTTAATAAATTGTTATATTTTTCATAATACTTCCATATTAATTGCTTAATTCTGTCTTTTGAAACAGTTGGAATTGATGCCTCTTTCCAAAAGTTTTCAATTTTAGGCACAAGTTCATTGCAAACTTCTAAAAAACTTGGTTCTTTTCCACTATATTTTTGAAATTTTAGTTCATAGCGTATGAATAAATAACATCGTAGCATTTGTTCAATTGTCGGCAACATACGAGGGTTCAAATTGGTTGGGTTCCCAAATATAGGATATTACACTTTACTCCTAGTTAAACTACAATTTAAAACACTCATTTTTGTTTAATATTGTTTATTACAACGCTTCACTTCTTAATCAAAAACAAAGTTACTCAGATGTTCGCTGTACGACGATTAGGCACATAATACCGCCCGAATCTAAGAAATGGCGTATTTATAACCAACCCCGAAAACGTGTTAAGTCTTGCATCGACAACTGCAAATTGGAATTCAAATAGCGGTTTTCCACTAAACGGATAAGACAAGAACAAAATACAAACTCTGTCGAAAAAAACGATACTGCAACTTTTCGCAAACTTTTTGAAGACTGCCATGTTTTGGGACAGTTGGAGTTCTGTTTTTCGAGTCCCACTCGGAAGCGGTAACATCAAAAGGCTTCGACGTGTTTTGAAACTCGAGTCTGTTTACTGGAAACGGTCGTGTTGTGTCTAAATGTTGTACTAAATTGGTACCTACAGGTAAGTAAATAACGTATTTTTTATAGATAAGTAATTAGTAATAAGTAATTTATTTTGAAATGCTGGATAAATTTATATGAGTATGTTTATTAGTAGAGTATATATCTGTATGGCAGAGCCAGTCTAGGTTAAGTCCAAATATTGTAAATTTTAGGTTTTTATGATGTCACATACATCTTTTAAACTGCTTTTATATATATATATATATATATATATATATATATATATATATATATATATTCAAATTGGACCTATTTTAAAAAATAAATAAGTATTATAAATATAAATAAAATATTGAAACAAGTATTAGAAATTAAAAAATTAAAAAAACCGACTTCAAAAACGTGCAGATGCCATCACCACATCTTAACCAAATATATGAGACCACCCCTGAGGTACCCCCTTACTAACAAAAAAGAATCATATAAATCGGTCAAGGTGGTAAAGCATTATCGTTAAAAACATACATAAAAAAATGAAGAGTTTGAGGATTTTCTCATGGACCCAATTATTAGATTTTGACCCTGAAGTAGTCCCTTTCTAACAAAAATTATTGAAATCGGACTCCGTTTTAAAAAAATATTGCTGAACATACATAAAAAAAAATATATATCGCGACGAACAAAAACAAAACTGGAACAAAATGTAGTTCTCTTGATGGAAACAAAAGTTTTAAGTTTGTCCCAGTTTTGTTTTTGTTTTTCAATTCCCAAAAAACACAAACAAAACATAAACTCAACTGTCCGTTTAGTGGAAAATCGTCTTAATAACTAACAGGTCTTGTTTTGTTTCTATCTATTTATATAGGTAAGGGTGGAAGTGGGATGTTAAAAAGAGAGTAAATTAAAGGGTGTTTTTATAGTGGAATATAATTGGGTTACAAATCTACTAAAAATCGGGATTTCAATTTTCTCATGACGAAAGTAAATTTCTTTGTCTATATAAATTTTCTAAGGAGGTGGTAGAGGGCTTAAAACGTATTTCTAAAATTTCGAAAAAAAAAAAAAATAATAACCAGTGCATATGCTTAAACAAAGCTTTTCGGTATAGCTAATTAAAATTTTACATTTAATTTTAATTTTATTTTTAGTAGAGGTAGAGGTAGAGGTCTGAAATTATAATTTTAAAATAGTGAACAAAATTACAAGATGTTTTTATAATGAAACGCAGCTTTTAAATTCTGTAGCAAATTAAAATTTTCTTTCATTATTTCGGCCCATCCTAATGGACATACATGTCTCCTGCTAACAAGACATACCTCGCGAGGTTTTTATTAAAATTGATTTGAATCGCAAATATTCATAGATCACTAATATATCGACACGTGGCAATATTTAGATTAACAAATAAACTTGACAACTACCAAATATAAATGGAAAAACAAACAAAAATATTCTAATAAATACATAGATATCTTATCTTAATTTTAAAATACTTGAAAGGTACTCACAAAATAAAAAATAATTTGAAGTGCTTACAGAAAATTCTTTTATAGATTACGTGCCATCTAAAAATTGATAAAAAATTATGTTTCATATAAAACTAGGAGTTCTAATTGATTTATTAAATTTTAAAATCATGTTGCTCGTGGGTTCCGTTTTAATTGTAGTTCTGGTAGCTACTTCTACTGCTTATGAACACCATGATGATTTGGACTGTACCATTACTGAATTTTCGCAGGTAAATATTTTTGTAATGGCTTTTCGTATCTAGGCGTAAGTTTAAGTTTTGGTTAAAACTTGTACAACCCCTTGATTTTGAAAAAAACCCTAATTGAGTTAGATTAAACTTGAAAGTGAGCTTTTTAAAATTAAAATCTTGTGTATTGAAATTTTTAATCATAAACAAGTTTAGTTTGCGAAGAAAATCTTCATTTATCCGTTTTATTAAGTACTTACAAGCAGATCGGGTTTAAAATACTATTATTGTTTATTATTCACGCTTATAAGCAGACGATACAATAATACCAAATGTTTGCAACGTAATCACATCGACAATAAAATGTTGCATATTACTTGTATAAAACTGCATCACCATTGGACTGACAAACCAAATTAAAGTAAATTTCCTTGCAAAATTTAAGAGAAGGTGAGATGAAACAAGAAGATGCAGTGTTGTCAGGGACCTTTTAAGTTACTTTGACATTACTACAGCAAACAAATACTTGACTAAGGCTAGATAGAATCCGCGTCGGATCTTCTGCAAAGTATGTTTCCATAGCATTAGGCTGTCAGAATCCGTGTTCTGCAGAACGTGCGAATATGAGCATGACAGTATAGAGCATAATTTATCCTCTACGATTGCCTGACGCTCTCATTCATTGGAATATTTTTGTTCGGCGAGTTTTGCCTAGAGCATTCTTCACGGCGGTTTGGATGATTTCAAAACGGGTACCTTTTAGGGCAGTCTCGAGTCTGCTGGAGAAATAGCATAACTATAGGGTGGTTAAAGCAACGTTAGCAACTCCTAGAATGGCTGCGAGTATTGTCTTGATAAAGCTGCCGGTAGTGGCGACCTTTCGACAGTTTTGAGATTGGTGCCTGGATGGAACTTTGAATACTGATCCCATCAATTTTATTCAGTTATATACGATTCATGCAAAGAAAGGCGGTAAAGCAGTTCCAGCAATTAATTCTTTATTACCAAATAAAAAAAAAGTTACGATATTGTTTTAAAAGAAGTGTACATATTATTTTACCAGCATTGAAACCAAACAGTGTTGTATGTTTCGAACAAGCTATTATTAATTATGCTAGAAAAGTAATTCAACAAACAAAAATGGTAGGTTGTTTTTGGCATCCATTACAACATGTGTGGAAACATATTAAGAGAGAGAGAAAAGACTTGTGAAACTATACAGGAACAATGAAACAGTTAGGCATCAATGTAAGAAGATTTAACTTTTGCATAATCTTTCCTGAATAAAATCCGACCTTTAGTCAAATATTGCGATCTTATTTGTTAAAAGAAGACTTTTCATACACCAAAAAACATTTTCCAACAAATTTTCTCCGAATTTATCGTTGTATTTAAAATAACACTGAAACGGTAAAAAAGATGCAGATTGTTAAGAATATTTAGTAGTGTAAATTAAAGTTTCATTAACTATGATTATAATTTTATATTATTTTTTATTATTGATAGCCACTAATTTATCCCACAATTATTATTATTAAAGTTTGTCATGCGTTAAATTGCCTCGCATTTTTTTTGAGTACGCGCTAATTTGACGTACTTTAGTTATATCAAGCAATAACTCTTGTCTAAGCCAGGCGGTCTTATCATATAAGTCATATCGAGTAAGAAAGTGACATCGAGGTTGGTATAAGATTGCATCAAAGTATTGACAACATTGGCACACCAAAATAAGAAAAAACCTCGTTTGGGTGCCAGGTCATCAAGGGATCGAGGACAATTAAAAGGCTGATGAACTAGCAAAGATAGGGTCAGAAGAAATACCGGAATCAGATATAGACCTTGAAATACCAAAAAGTACAGTTCGAGGTTTCATAAATGCCTGGGTTCTGAGAAAACTATTAGAAACTATTAGAAAAATGTCCCAAAACAAGCACATGGGAAAACCTTTATTGGAAGACCATGTTAAAAATAAACAGAAGAAATACTCTCTATGAACAGGAACTAGTTTAAAATAATAACATGACTCACTGGGCAAGCCCCAGCAAAGAGACACCTGAATAAAATAGGAGTGTATAATGAAGATCTATTGTGTTGACTTTCTCAAAAAAAAACAGAAATAGCCAAACATATACTGCAAAAATTGGATCGCAAAAGACGGACACTTTTTGGACAACTGCGTGTTGATCCAAGAAACTATAGAACACATTCTGTCAAGGACTTATACAAGAGACTAAGGTGACTACGAATAAATATGAGTCAAGTATAATAATCCATTAGGCTTCAGTATTATTGGAGAATAACTTGTATGAGCTGGGTCGCTGGCTGAATGTAAAAGGTATTTAAAACATCGATCAGAGCCCAGCAGTCCCTGGATCGGCTTCGGTCTAATTGGATGACCAAACCTGTATAGCTTGGGGCTCATATAGACGGTGAAATGTATAATAGAGAGAGAGAGATATGCTTTATTGTCGTAAAAAAATTTACAAAAATTTTATAGACAAAGCGTGTAACTTAAATACTAAACATATTGTTAAGAGTGAGATTATGGGTCCTTTTGACTGGCCCTAAAGTCCACTCTTAGCGGTAACCACGGGTTATATATAGGGGCCCAATTCGTATTTAAATTGGCCTCTAGATATAACCCGTGGTTACCGCTAAGAGTGGACTTTAGGGCCAGTCAAAAGGACCCATAATCTCACTCTTAACATATGGTGGAGGCGCCTAAGGCTCGATCTAAAGGGCGTTCCTCCTAACACCCTTACAAGGCGATTAAAAGTTTTTTCCTTTGTTTTTAAAACTGAAAAAATTAAGAAATATTTTTTTGTGTGTTGACAATTATACAAGTGTATATTGCAGGTGGAACTATCCTTGCCTTTTCAAAAGTACCCCAAGCATCAGCCCTAATACAGATTTTTTTTTTTTTTTAATTAATACAAAATTTTAATAATATTTTAACAGTTGTAAAACGAGTATAGTCATAACATATGGTTTATTTAAAAAATAATAATAATAACAAATTGTTGATAATTTAATATTTATAGCAAGATATAAACATGTGGCGATAAAATAATTCATTACTATTATTCAACCAAAAGAATAATTCGTGTTTCGATTTTTTTCTTTGGAAGCCTTCTTTAAGCAAAAAATAATTGCAATATTTGGATTTAAAAATAAAAATAATGAATTATATAGCCTCTTTGTTTCAAATGTTTTTTATTGAAATAGTACTCTTTGTTTACTAAAGAAAGTGAAATTTATACACAAATATCTAAACAACAATCGTCAGCGAAAGTACGATTACTACTAGGTCATTATAGTCTTGACCACACTCAATATTTTAATATTAGACTAGGGCTCATTTAATTAAAGAAATGAGATAACCATAAACATTTTTCATTTTAACGAATGTAAATTATTTCTGTTTTGCTAAATATTTATACACTATTTTGTGACATGAACTTTGTTAAATAAATAGGGCGTTTTTGAGGATAAAAAATTTGGGTCAAAAAAAAATCGCTTATACCAGTGTGAGCTAAAATACATATTTTTGTACTTATTCTACTCCCTCTTAATTTAATTTAACCCAAAATTTTGCATCGTCAAAAAACTTTAATTATAAACTTTGAATTACAGTCGATTATCCTGTTAATCGATCATTAAAATTATTTTAATTAGAATAATCAAAATCGAGTATAGATAAAACGCGATATTAAATAGTATTTCAAAGAAACGCTGTCTTTGGCAAAACTACAGGGAACTCTCAATGATTATTCCTCATTTAAATAAATAATTAAATTGCTACTTGTTCTACTACTTTGAGTAAAGGGTTACACAATATACACGTAGGTATATACCTAAGTGATTTAATGAAAGGATAATAGTTAAAATTTCAGCGGTAATACTCTCCCCTTTCTTTTTATTGTGTTGTGTATGGTAATGAAATGAGTTCTACTAAGGTAAATAGGTACTAATGTCTGGGGGAAAAAGGTTTACAAGAAGTGACAAGAAAAACGCGCAGGAATTTGATCTGGTTTTCAAGCCACTAGCGAGGAGTAGCAAAATTAATTCGCACGAAGACCCATTTGCCACTTCAATTGTAATAAAGCATTCCCCAGTCAAAAACTTTAGCCGCATCGAATCTGCTTCCGAGGACGACGAAGCAGTAGAAGAAGTAGTACTAGAAGAAAAAGAAGAAGATAAGAAAGAAGAAACCAAGGAAACAGTCTACGGTAGTAACAAAGAGGAGGAGAGCCAAGAAGGAACCGAGACTGGTGACGTAACTGGAGCAAGCACAACCTACTGGGAGGACACTATTACCTCACTTAATATAGAAGAGACAGTTAGTGGGCTAAACTTGACGGAGGATCTGGAAAAACTCTACGAAGAAACCCAGAAGACAAACGTGGACAGTCCCAATCAGGAGAATCTTATAGAGCCTGAGTCAGAAAAGAATCAAAAGAAAGTAAAAATGGCGGATCAAACATTAATAGAGGCCATCAATGAAGCCAACAAACCGGCCGCACCGCAATTTATTTCTCCGCCTACATTTAACCCTTGTACAGGGAATCCCCACTCTTTTATTGATATATACGAGCGGACAGCCATCGCAAATGGATGGACCAATGGTCGGAAGATCAATTACTTAGCGTCATACTTAGAGGGGGCCGCAAACGTATGGTTTCGTCGATACATAACAAAAGTCGAAAACCATACCAAAAAATGGGAGACGGTAAGAAAAGAGTTCTTGGCAGAATTCGAGGAGGGGGACATGAAACGTAACTTGGAAACACGGCTTTTGGCGAGGAAACAGAGACAGGGAGAGTCAGTGAAAGCGTATTATTACGACCTAACGACATTATTTTACGAATATGACCCAGATATGGATCCAGAGGAGTTTCGCAAGTTCTTTGAGAACGGTCTCAGTCCAGAACTGTTCGGCACTTATAGGATCCTTCGGGAAACCCCAATGACGATGGAAAAGTTTAAAGGGATTGTGTTTAGTCTAGAAGACATAGCCGTCCATGCCGCCGCTATATCAGCTCAGAATGCATTGACTTCTAGTTTTAGGGACCTGACCCTTTATACGAGGGAACAGGGAGCGTCCCCGCCTGGTCACTCAAACTATAGTCCCACACCACCTGATGGTAGGAACGGTGCTAACAGAGGACAACCCTCTGGCAGAGCTCGGTGGTCAAATTCAAGACCCCCGAAAAAGGAGTACAGGCAGCCTGAACCAAGTAATCCCAGAGGAGGAAATAGGCATAGAGGTTCGTCCTCATATGCCCCGGCTACAAGAACCCATGATGGCAGACCTCGGTGTTACAATTGTAACAGACCAGGTCACTTTGCAGCCACTTGTTTTCAAAAACCGGTTGGACCACGACGGAGTCACCCAAACGGGAACAGGCGAGGCGAGTAACCCCTCGTCTCGCCTTGACTACGCGACAGGGGCAGTCGTCAGGCCACAGTGGCGTTCTTACCATACAACTACTGGTAAATGGAACCCTGTCACGCGCTATTGTGGACACAGGCTCAGCCTGTAACATCATCAAAGCAGGTTCAGAAAACAACATCGACACAAGGGGTAGCCGCCCTTTGCTGGCGGTGGGCAACACTCGGGTTTTCACTAAGGGTGAAAGCGACGTAGTAGTTGTCATTGGAGGTATAACAACCACGGTAAAGGCCTTAGTGGTTGAAAAACTACCGATATCCCTTATCTTGGGAATGGACTTCCTGAGGAAGCACCAATCCATAATAGATATAGTAAGGAACCATGTCACCTTTAAGGTGAATGGATCGGAAGTAAAGGTGCCTATTTTAGGAAATAAGCCATCTACAGAGAACCTCAGTTGTCAAGTCGTACCATTATCAAAAGAAAAAGGAAGGGACTACAAGCAACTGTACATAGACGAGTGCCTGATGGGCATTAAAACAACGCTCCAGGCACTAGTGAGTGCCAACAAGGATGAGAAAACGGATGGGAAAAGAAACAGTACCGGAAAAGAAGATAGAAAAGTGAAGGAGATGAGAGACATGGGAAACAGCGTGGTAAATGGAAACAACGATGGACTTTAGGGCCAGTCAAAAGGACCCATAATCTCACTCTTAACAATATTATAAAAATAACTAAACAGCAGAAAAAACAAACAGAAACAAACAGACAAAATAGGAATAACAATTGCAATGGATATGCAATATCCGTCATTATAATTATTCTAATTTAATTTTTAAATTTAAATTTAAATTTAAATTTAAATTTAAGGTAGGCAATAACGCGATAGGTCTAGAGTTACAGGTTTTGGTTTTGTCGCCACCTTTATGAAGTGGGATTATTATAGCTGTTTTTAGACAGTTAGGAAAGAGACCAATTTCAAAGGATTCATTAATCAGCGAAGTTAAAATGTTGATTACTACATCCGGTATATTTAGAAATATTTTGGTGGACAGGCCATCAATTCCACAGGAAAATTTATTTTGGATGTTGTTTATGGTTTGCACTAGTTCATGCTTGTCTACTGGTCTTAGGAAGAAACTTTCAGTGATCCTTTTAGTAGGTAGGAGGAAGGAGAGAGCATCCTGACTCGGAGCTATGTTAGATTTGATATTTTTCCTTACATTTACGAAATAATTGTTTAGTTCATCTGGGCTAGAATTTACACTGTTTGAAGAACGGGTTTTATTCCTTAAGTCATTTATTATAGACCAGGTTTCTTTGGAGGAGTTTTTAGCTCTTGCGATGCGATTTTTGTAATAGTTTTTCTTAGCAGATTTGGTGATTTTCCGATACAATATTCTGTAGTTGTTGATATAGTTTAATATTAGGGGATTATCTGTGTACTTTTTAATATACATGAGTGACCTCATATTTTTAGATGATGTTCTTATTCCTTTAGTTGTCCAAGATTTATGACATTTAGTTTTAATGGGGCGAAGGGGGAAAGCTGTATTGAAACACATAATTATTTTATTTAAGAAGTCTAAAAATTTAGAGTCAATATCTTCAGAAAGACCATTCCAATCAGTAGTTAGACATAAATTATAGAAATTTTTGAAATTATGCTTAGAGAAAATTCTACCTAGCTGACGGACTTTTTTTGGAGCTTTACGGGGTATCAAAAATTTGGCAAATACTGCTTCGTGGTCTGAGAGACCTGAGCTAATTACTTGGTGCTCTACATCGACGGGTTTAAAATCAGAGACTACGTAATCTATAATTGTAGATGTTGTTTCTGTGATTCTAGTTGGAGAATTTACGTGCATAGTGAGACTGAATGATTCAAAAATATTGATCAAAGACTTTTGAGTAGCACATACATTAGCAAAGTCAATATTAAAATCGCCGCATAAAATTTTCTTACTTTTTATAGGCAATGCGTCAAGTAGATTAAGAAGATTCTCTAGAAAGAGGTGAACATTTGATTTAGGTGTTCTATAAATACAAATAATAAACAAATCAATGTTTTTGTTGTTTACAATGGAAAATTCGAAGAAATTTTCAGCTTGTAGAAAGTCTTATTTAGATACAGCAGAAAAGTCCTTGTCTAAGGATAAAATTAGAGTTCCACCATGGTCTGTATTACTTCTATCATATCTGCTGACGATAGTATATTTTTCGACAAAAACTGGTTCACCAACTTGTAACCAGTGTTCTGTAATAGCAACTATTTGGGGAAACCCTAACTCTTCCAAAAACAAATACAATTCATCAGTCTTATTCCGTATTGATCGAATATTAATTAGAACCATTCTTAATTTACTGTCGGCATAGCCAGTAAGACTAGTTGGGGATTCTAGTTAAATAAATACATGAGCTGAATGAATAGAAAGGAATATGGCAGCCCGTGGGGTTGCAGAGCCACCATGCGAACTCCAGAGAAGGGAAGGCAGGCTGGAACCCAAGTCTGGATGGTGGATGCTACTGGAACCGAACCCCCATAGGGTGGAGTAGATGGATACCTGAAAGGGTAAAAAAATATTTAAAAACATGTCTCTGACCTTTGGTGAAGCGCGAATTTTTCGTTGCCAGTTTTCCCTGCATGGAATTGTTACGCGCTAATTTGAGTCGCTCTTTTTTGATCAGACGTTAATTTGATTCACTTTATTTATATCAGGTACAAAATTTTCTCTCATGTATATGTGTCTGAGCTTAAATTTGTCGCAACAGAATAATTGTCTCACGCTAAAATGGATCGGATCAATCCGGAATTGTTAAAAACGACAGATATTTACTTAATTATTTTTTCATTTAAATCTTCCCTCGGTACACACCGAGATGGGATTAATATGAAAATCAAAGTAGACATTTGGTAACAAAATTGAAATTAATGGATTTATATTGGATTTATTGGTACACGTCACGAGGCACAGAAAACATACCATTTTAAATGTTAATAATTATTTTTCCGACCTCCTGTGACACATGAACGACAAAATTTTGTTAGAGTAATTAAAAGATAAGGGGAAATAACAAACGATGTCTATTTTATAGGAATTTTTAAGTAATCAACTTATTTTGGTGATACCGAGTCCCAAACACATGCAAAATAATTGTAAGCTAATAAAACAAACGAGGTCCGAATAACAAGATATTTAAAAATAATCATTATGGTTAAAAACGGACGTTGTCCGCACATTACTGGGAAAAAAATACGTTGTCCAGGCTAAATACAACGATTTGCAAGTACTAAAACGTTTTTGTCACCCAAGTACTAACGAATTTTATGAAACATTGTTATACAGATAAAAATCTCTTTATTTTAGGTTAGTTTTAAAATAAAAATAATTCCTTTTTAACAAGTTATTAGTAAAATTTTTTTTTTAAACCTGAATATAATAATCTAACGTTTAAATTCTTTTGTAACCAGTTAACTATACAGTAATAAATTATGGTAAAAATATTAACGTGCAGTTTTGTTTATATCTATGACTGTAACATAAGATTTGGTAATAATATTAATTAAAACTCAATTTTCTCAGTAAGTCAGTTTTGTGACATCGTGTGTTATTTACCATTACCCTTCAATTTGTAATTTATAAAGTTTTCTTTGGACTATTTGAAAAGTATGACTACTTTGTATAATTAACTATCATCAAATTTTCACAGGTAAAACACGTCACCAAAAAATGTAAAGACATAATTATCAAAGACCTGGTGGTACCTGGAGGCACGACATTAAAACTCAGTCTTAAACATGGGTCTACATTGGAATTCCAAGGAAAAACCTCCTTTAAATACTTTAATTGGAAAGGACCCCTTTTGAAAATTAGTGGAGACCATGTACATATTAGAGGTGCTGAAGGTAAGTAATAATATTCTTTATCATAAATGATCAATATTAATTTAGAACAGGGCTACAGTTTAAAAATGTTATATTTGGTGTCTTTCTTGTGAGAACCATTCCAGACATGCGTAGTAGACTAAAAGTATTTGTGTTTTCTGGACTAAGTTCTGATTGAGTTCTATTTTTTACTTTTTCTTTTAGAACGAATCTGAATGATTTTAAATAATTCTATGTTATTCCAACAAAAAGACGCTATATAGTGATGACGTCATTTGTATTCTTCTGACAATAATAGTGACAGTAGACTTATAAGAGATAATAGGTATTCATTATCATTTTATATTATTTTATTAAAATGACACATTTACTCCTTGGGGATTAAAAATGTACTTTCAATACCTAGAGATTAAAAGTACAATGTACCTAATGGTACTTTTACTCCCTAGGAATTAAAAATTACTTTTAATCCCTAAGGATTATAATATACTTATGCCATATAATCGAAAATAAGGTACAAAGTACAATATAGGTCAACACTATAACAAACTTGCACTGGCATCGTCATTGCTTTGTTATTAGAGTACCGTTAAGTATTTTTTCATAATTTTCATAATTTTTTTTTATTTACTTTTCTCCTAAGGTACTTCTTTAAGTTGTTTCAGATACAGAATTAGAAATATTACATGTGATTTCCAATAAATCCCTATTAAATGACTTCGAGAACCCATTAAACTTAAAAAATATTAAATTCAGACCTAGTTGTATCTAGTCCGCCCAAATCTAATTCATTAGTAATCCGACTTTTTCTGCTCTTATTTAAATTTTAAATTCATTTCCTTACTCTTATCAATCGTTAGCTCGCCATAATTTAGTTTTGTCTCCAACCCTTATAGTTAAATAATTTTACTTCTCTAAATTAGTAGATAGAAGACAAAAAATTGCTTATAAAATTGTAATTAGAACCCTAAACAAAATATCTACCAAAATACCTAACGGCATTCGATAGGGGGCCTCAAAATCTAGAAACGTAAAAAAAAAACCAAACATTTATCGTCAAACTATCGAACACAATAATTATGAGTATAATCAATCAGATTTAATATAAAAAACAACATTTTAACATTTTTATAATAACCTTTGTAGCTAATCCGTAATGGATATGTCAAATTAATACCTATTAACCTTTTTGTTCGCCCTCAATTGTTTTGTATCTGTTCAAATTTCATTTTTTGTATTCAATATTTTTACTTTTCAATACATTGACTTAATGACTATTTATTTATGTGTGCCTGAAGATGAAATAACCTACTTTGAAACCGGTCCCTAATTAAATGATATTGGAAATATAAAGAGCCCTTGTTCAAGGCGGCTCCTAGGAGAGGGGATATGGTGGTCACTTCCCCTTCCCCTCGAGATTAAAATTCTTACAATTCATTAGCCTTTTATTTAAAAAAAAATATATGCTAAAAAGGGAATGGCTAATGGCTAATGGCAATACCACCCCGCCCCTGTCCTCCCACCAAAAATTTGTCCTGGAGCCGCCCTAGCTTTTGTTTTCTTTCTATGTCTGCACCCAGTTATATCCGAGAATACCGATCGGTATTCTCGGGTTATATTATGTTTCGAATTTCCTTTAATATTTTAATATTCTAAAATTATTTAAATTTTACTGAGAAAATTCAAATTGACCTTCAAACGTAGAAGAGGATGCCTTTGAACGGTGACGCACCATCAAAAAAAAAGAGATCACAAAATTATAATTTTATTGAAATAATATAAATAGTTAAAAAAAAAAATAATTTTGACAAATCAGTAATGTCAATTGACAGTTGATGTTCTGTTCTGCAAAATTCTAAATTTGTGCCACTTAGCAACTGGTTCTGCGCAATTGTAGAACGGTTCTGTTTTAAAAAGACAAACAAATCTATAAAAAACTTCAAACTTAACCGTTTTGTTTTTAGGACACGTCTTACATGGTGATGGCCAATTATATTGGGACGGTTTAGGCGCCAAAGGTGTCGTGAAACCCAAATTTATAGCCCTCAGTCTTAATAATTCCGTTATCGAAAATATCAACGTCAAAAATTGTCCAGTTCACTGTGTCTCGGTTTCAAACAGCAACAATGTAATTATGTCAAAATGGGACATTGACGTATCTGAAGGAAATAAGGTTTGTATTACATGTGAATCATTAATATAAATTGATACAAAAATAAATGAAGGGTGCAGGGGCTAAGTCAAATTTTATGGTTTTGAGATAAAGCAATTTTAAATTTCAAAACGCTACAATATCTAAAGTATTTGGATTCACAAAGTTCTCTTTTTACCAATATGGGCCTTAACTACCGTAGATCTTCGGGTCATAAAAGAAAGTCTTTAAAAAAAAATTGATAGAAAAATCAACAATTTATTGTTAATTGGTCGTGACTTAGCTCGTTTTCCCCCGAATTTATAACAATTTTGTATTTTAAAGTATGTTTATTTCACTCAACAACCAGCTTTATGCCTACATAAATAATATACTGAAACAAAATTAACTAAAAAATAATCTTCATTATTCTGTCATTAATTCGATAACCTAAAAAGAATAATAAATATGTAGTTTAATTAGTGTATAAAAAAAAATAAACAAGACTTTTTTACCTTGAAAGTTTCTTTATAGGTAAGAAGTCCTCCATATTTCCAATTAATTATGTACCAGTGAGATAAAATAATCTTGAGCTTCCTTTTCACAGAACTTTTTCAAACTCTGCAAATTGGCAAATATTTCTGCCGAAATTGGTATTGGACCTGGAACAAATAAAAAACTTTTAATAGTCAAAATAAAAGTATATGCGTATAAGTTTACCTGTGTAAGATATTTCGGGAAGAAGAAACTGGTTGTTTGTCTCCAAGTTTTTGAGGACCATAGATTTTCTATCCATCACAACTGCAGAGGTCCATGTCCCATTATATGTGTCTCTATACTTGATCAACCTAGGGTGTTCTTTTGAAACTTCGAACTGCCTTATTAATTGAATTGGAAAGCTAGCTTTTTTCTTGTAGAATTTATTCAAATGTTCGCTCTACTTTTGAAAAATGTGTTGTCTTTTGAAAAATGTTCCACTACAAAGGGCGAAGGTTTTTTTCTGGAAGATTGGACGAGGTCACATAATTCCTTCACTGTTTCAACTCTGGCTTCCTGATTGATGATTCCCATATTCTTATCATTTTCCATATAAGAATGGCCTCTAATTGGGAAAGTAACTCGAACAGAATCAAATCTTTTTTGCTGGTGAACAAGATTATGTAAGTAGCGGAAAAAGGTGTAATTCTTATTTTGCCCACCGCAGGAGTCACAAAATAAATACAAGTTTCTTATGTTTGAATTGAGGTAATTATATATAAAATGATTCATTAGAGAAGAAACATCATCACTACCTTTTTTGGCAATAGTTTCTGGGTATACATAAAAGACACTTCTTGAGTCAGACAGAACGTGACGTTGAACATATAAATTGACAACTGCCTTTTGTAGTATACATCATTAGTAGAAATTTTGAGGATAGGAAAATTTTTACCAAAGTCTAAACAGACTGACTTTTTTACGTATGATTTGCGACTTGAAAGCTTTGATTGCTTTTTAATTGAATAAAATGATTTTGCTTTACATAAATGCAGGTCATGTAATGTGGTCAGTTGTTTTATTTCAGCTATTATATCTTCCTTAGTTCGACCTTTTTTTTTGTTTTTTATTTGGAGACGTGTATACAGGGTTTTCATTGCTTGCATTTTCTTTTTCATGATCGAGACATTTTATTTTAGCTCGGTACTCATCACATGTGCTGCACGTGTCTGTTCATGGGTAACCAAAAGCTATATTAAAATCTGTGGTGAAAATGGTCCTATAGGTTTCGTAGGATACTTCGTTGTCGGGATGCATATTTACACATCCTCCTTATATGACACCGGAGTGCTGAAACCTGTTCGCCTTTGTAGCCTACAAGTACGCTACAAAAGCTTATTGATTTAGACACCCATACAAATTTTATGTTATGTGAGACTTTACTTTTCAATTTTAGCTGTGTCCAGGCCGTTGGCGTCTATGCCGGTAGGCGTAGCCAGGTATGTGTTAAAAATTTTTTCTTCTTGTATATTTTCTTTTTTTTTTCCCAAAACACTTCAAATGCGTCATTTAACGGCATTTTAGTACACGACCGTTTAACGGCAGTTTAAGTACAGCCATTGTTTCATAGAATGCAGATATGCTTGCTCACTGATTTCAGCAATAAGAGAGGCCTCATGCGTTGGTGCCTAAATCAATGAGCTTTTGTAGCGTACTTGTAAGTTACAAAGGCGAACAGATTTCAGCACTCCGGTGCCGTCATATAGGAGGATGTGTAAATATGCTACCGGGATGCATATTTTTAAAGATTTCCCACATTTTTTAATGTTTAGCTCTCCAGGCAAATATTTCTTCTGAGTGTCTTTAGTACTATAATGACTGCCTCTGCTTTTAAATGAAGATATATGCTCTTTAATTTTATTGCGACTATCATCAGACAGTTTTAATGGCCTTTTTGAGTGTTTTCCTCTTTTATCAATTGGAGTATTTTTTAAAGATGTGAGTAAATACTCAATTCGGCGTTTTGTAATGCCGTGTAATGCTATAAACTCATCTCGACAAATTTCTAATTCATTAAGCTTATGTTCATGTAAATACCTAATCTTATAGAGAGCTACAACATCTTTTAAACGAGCATTTTCTTCATCTACCCAAGGTCGTCTATTTTTGACTGGGACAATACTAATGAGTCCACATAAATAGGAGTTTTGCTTATCAGTGGACTCTAAAAGATTAAAATTGCTTATAATATCTCGCTTATCCGCAGGAATCTTTTTGGAGCACTGTAAACGTTTACAATCGCATTCGTTACCAATTTCATGGCTTTGCACTTTCAATTTTTTATTCACATCGGTTAATCGTCCATGTTTTGATCTCTTTTTTGTAGAAGATATAATTTGTACACTTTCACAATTACTTGAGTCACTTTCCATGATAGAACAATGTTCCTAACAATGTTTACCAATGAAAAACATGAAGAACACTGACAAATCTGCACGAAAACGATTAAAATGGCGATCACAACGTTACCGAATGGACTTAGCCCGTTTTTGCTCGGTACCGCACGGACTCAAGTTTTTCCCCTGTACGGGATATTTTTCTTATTTGATATCTTCTGACTTATCCTATTCTTGACGTGGGAGGTATTTTTAGAACAAAATTTAACATATTTTCTATCGGATGACGTTAATATCTCAATTTCGCTAAACACTGACTAAGCCCGTTTTTCCCCTGTACCCTTTAAATGTTTCTAAGGTAGATATTGGAAAAAATCGTGCATGTCGTAGCGTACAATTATTCCTCTTTTAAATTACAGTTTGAGTGTAATTCAGAGCCATGAGTAGTTATCACGTACATGCTTTGTATCTCTGTCTTTGTCGGTCATTGCCTACTTTAGAAAAATTTTTAATCGATCAATAGACAAGGAAAGAGAGAGGACGCGTAACAAGTATACCAAGTCGTCGTAGTATTCTATGCCGATTATCTATTGGCCGCCATTATTTTGGTGCTTGGCATTTTGGCGGCACCAAAGCTTTCTACTCGTGTTTATTTGTGATTTTTGAATTACACGACATTTGATAATTAGTTTGTTACAATGTTTATTGTTTTGCATAGCAGTGTAAAAGTCGTAGCGACAAGAAATAATTAGATATTACGGTTCATAGATAAATAATAAACGTGAATCATTTATACTTTATATATTTTTCATTTTATTTGGTTATTATAAAGCTCGATATTTATATATTTTACATGTCTCACTCCAGAGTAATAAATGTTATCTGCCAAGTTTGTTAATTTTATGCTTTCTCATTAATTTTTAAGCAATTAACATTATTAAAATTGCCAAAAATTCAATTTTTTCTAGTGGCGTGTCATACAATTCTAAATAAGTATTAACTTTTATAAAGCACTCTTTACTTATAAATCTACTTTCCGATAATAAACATGAATTTCGAACTGTAGATCGACAAAACCGATGGTCTTTAAAAGTTTTTGGTGGAATGATAGGAAGTCAGTTGGTGTGGCCCTATGCCGTTTTATGTAACACGTCATTATATATTTCCAGCTAATTTTAACTGATAAGGCAATTATATTTTTTATAGTATTCCTAAATAAAGATGGAGAAACAATTGATTTTAAGGCATCTGATAGATGATTAAATATTTTTAGGGCTCTCTTAGATTATTGAATTCTTAATAAGGGATGAGTGTGGAATCAGAAGTAATAAGGTATAATTTTGTCTAGTGCCTCGACTCAGTAGGCACATTTGAAATAAAACCCATTAAAAAAAATTGAAGATAGATTCCTAAAACTTTCTTTAGGATATTAGACGAAAAATGAGGCTACAACTAAATGGTGCTCCTGCTTATTTTGCGCATAATGTCAGGACATATTTAAACCCAAAATTACTTGAAAAATGAATAGGAAGAAGAGGACCCACTAAATGCTCCCCCTCATCTGTAACCTGGAAAGTGTTATCCCACGGCACTTAGGCCTCATTAGGCCCGTTGTACATCATCCTAAGATGATAGGCACCTTCTAACTCGTGATCAATGACCATTCTCTAGACAGTTTAAGCTACCAGAGTCATACAAAATTTTCGGACCGTCCTGACTGGTCCTAGCCGATCAGCTGATTAGTTATGACTGGCCATGTTGTTCTGTTTTCGTTTTCGTTTTCGCTCGACATTTTCGACCAGTCCGACTGCTCACTTATTGCACCCTGTAGAAATCGACTCTTTAAGCTCTGACATCACGATATAGGCAACCAAAATTGCTAATATCACAAGAAAATCAAGGTTATAACCCTCGTTCGATTTTGAACCGCTTTGTATACTCAATAAAATTGTTGAAAAATTAAAAACTTAATTTTTCGTTTCTAAGAATAAGACGAATTTTTAATAATTTTGAGTGCTGATTCGATTATCTCTGAATATAGGTTAAATTATATTTATATTAATTTTAGTTCAATTAATAACAAATATTATCCACATTATGTTAATAAAATTTATTTATTCAATAATCTTTATTATCACATGGAATATATGATACTATGGACAAAGTTTA